AGTGACCCTGCTTCAAGACTCTCTCAGTGTGCTATAGGCATGCAGCACAGCGGTCGTGCTTAAAAAAATCCCCCTCCTCCTCGCTCCTCGCTCCTCGCTCCTCGCTCCTCCTCCCCGCGGCCTGTGACGGCCCCTGGGCCCGACAGCGGGCGCAGAACGCCCGGCCTGACAGAGCCGCGGCGCCCAGAGCTCCGCGGGGCGCCGCCGTCCGCCGCCATCGGCCGCCGCCCGCCGCCGCCGCGCGTCGCTCGCCGGCCGCCGCCCTCCACAAGGAATCGTTGACCCCCAGGGAAGAGATGGGAAGACAGGGGAAGTGGGGGGGAGGCAGGAGCCCAGAAACTATGATAAAATGCGGGGAACGCTGTGAAGCAGTATTTTGTGTCTGTTCACTCGTGTGTCCCAGGGCCCCTTCATCCACGCGGCCCCGCGGGGGAGGAGCGCTCGGCCCCACTGAGTTCTGAGCCCACGGCCCTGAGCCCAAAGCCCTGAGCTCAAAGCCCCGAGCCCTGAGTCATAAGACCAAAGCCCTGAGTCCAAAGCCCTGAGCCCCAAGTCCTGAGCCCTAGGACCAAAGCCCCGAGCCCTGAGCTCAAAGCACCAAGCCCTGAGCCCTGGGACCAAAGCCCCGAGCGCCCCAAGTCCCGAGCCCCAGGACCAAAAAGCCCTGAGCCCAAGGCCCTGAGCCCGAAGCCCCGAGCTCCGAGCCCCGAGTCCCGAGCCCCGAGCCCCGAGCCCTGCGGGCTCGGGGCGGAGGAGGAGGAGAAAGAGGAGGAGGAGGAGGAGGAGGAGGAGGAGGACGAGGAGGAGGAGCCAGGAGCCAGGAGCCAGGAGCCAGGAGCCAGGAGCGAGGAGGAGGAGGAGGAGGAGGAGGAGGAGCGAGGAGGAGGAGCGAGGAGGAGGAGGAGGAGGAGCGAGGAGGAGGAGGAGGAGCGAGGAGGAGGAGGGAGGAGGAGGAGCGAGGAGGAGGAGGAGCGAGGAGGAGGGCGAGTTGGGGGAGGTGCGCGCGGCCCCGCGGGAGCGGCGGGCCTCTGGGGGGGGGGGGGGGGGGGCGGCGGGCGCTCTGCGCCAGGCCTCGGAGGCGGCGGGGCGGCGCCTCTGTCTCGGGTTCGTGCTGGGCACGAAGGCGCCCCCGACGACGACCACGACCACGACCACGATCACGATCACGACCACGACCACGACCACGATCACGATCACGACCACGAGCACGACCACGACCACGACTAGGCCCACGACCAGGACCACGACCACGACGACGACGACGACGACGACGAGGTGGACGCTGACGCTGGCGCTGGCGACGACTACGACGACGACGACGACGACGACGACGACGACGACGACGACGACGACGACGACGACGACGACAACGGCGACAGCGGCGACGGCAAGAGCGGCCCGCCCCGCGGCACGCAGTTTGGACGCAGCCGGGGGGGCTTGGCTGGCAGGATGCGAGGCGTGGTCTGGTGCTCGAGGCGTGTCATGGCGCCAACATCGCAGAGCGGATTTCGCTTGGAAAACGATGGAATGGGCCCGGATTGTCCTGGAGAGTTTCGCTCCGGATTTCGATGTGAATTTCGCGCGGGTTTTTTTCTCGCCAGGAAGGAAGACCGAAGAAAATCCACGCGGAAATCATATCGTTTTTTCGCTCGCCGTTTTAGGGTTTTGCATTGACGGAAATCCACGTGGACATCCGCTGCAGCACGTCTGCAAGGCCCACGCAATGAGGCGTGCGTGGTGTCGGCAATGTGCAAAGCGGGCAGGGATCCTGGCAGGCTGCAGTTTCAGCGAATACCTGCATCCACAGGGAAGGGAGATTCAGAATCTCTAGAAACTGCGACCGGGCAGATGCAGGTTTCTGCCCGCGATCGTTGGACCGATTGTGCCGCACTGGATCCTTCCGCCAATTGGGTAGTGGGACGAAGTTTCTACTTCAACAACCGACTCGACCTGCTTCGCATTTTAGCAGCGGCAGTCGCGTACCATCTGGAGAATGGCTTGTTTGAAGTCTGACGAAGGAAAACGACAACGAGGGGTGGGAAGGATGAAGAGAAGGGAGAAATCGAAGGCATCGGGAGGTGAAGGAGGAAGAGCAGCAACAGGAGAAAGAAGAGGACGACAAGTAGGACGGAGAGGAAGATAGATTGAACTCGGGAGGCGGGCGTGGAGGATAATGTCGAAATAGAGGCGAAATTCGAGTTCGAAACGCTCGGATTACAGAAAATGATTCGAGTTGGAGCTCCAATTGGGGTAGCAGCAGGAGGGGGCGGGAAGAGGAGGGGGCAACGGGAAGGCAGGATGAGATGATGGGATGAGAAGAAAATGAGGAGAATGATGAGTACGATCAGCGGCAGCAGGAGCAGCAGCAGGGATAGAATGAGGAGAAGGTGCTGGAGGGGCGGTGGCAAAAGCAACAGAAGCTGGAGGAGAGGGATTCGGGGGCAGCATGGAGGAGGTGGAGACGAACGAGACGTTGCAGTTGGAGGCAGGATCTAGAGCAACGGATTCGGTAGTAGCGACTGAGGTACGAGTCGAAGTAAGGGCATAAAGTGGAGTCGAAGTTGGAGCTGGAGCCAGAGCCGCAAGTTTAAAGAGGAAGAGGACGAAGCAGAGTCCGAGCTGGAGATGAGCTTCACACAAGCAAGTGTCAATCGAAGCTGAAGTCAGAGTCAGGAGGAGGAGGAGAGGAGGACGAGTTGAAAAAAGAGACCAGCATAATGATAACAAAAAAAAAAAAAAACGAGGAGAAAGGGAGAGGGGGAGGGAGGAGGGAGGGAGGGAGGGAGGAGGGAGCATGGAGGAGGGAGCTGAAGGAGAAGGAGCCGCAGTAGATGCAGCTGCGACAGCGGTAGATGCAGCGGCAGGATGTCTCTGGGAGCTTCCTCCCTCCTCCTCCTCCTCCTCCTCCTCCTCCTCCTCCTCCTCCTCCTCCTCCTCCTCCTCCTCCTCACGCACGCGCGCTGCGGGGGCAAGACGAGGCGGGTTTTTTCTACAAAATAATATGTCTATATATATATATATATACACATACATACAGCAGCTTTCTTGCTCACGTGATGAGGGGTTTGTCCAGCGGGCTCTTACTCTCCACGGTTCTCTGGCCCATGGCGTTGCAGGGGCTTTGTCGTGGAGTCGCTCGGAAAACGAATGCACAGTTCCTGCCCGTCTTCAATCTGCCCCAGAAGGTGGGAGGCGGAGGGGGAGGAGGAGGAGGAGGAGGAGGTGGAGGAGGAGGAGGAGGAGAAAGATGAGAAAGAGGAGGAGGAAGAAGAGGAGGAGCAGCAGCAGCAGCAGCAGACCGAGTTTGGAAAAAAAGCCTCCAATTCAAAAGCCATGGCCCAAGAAAGCTGCCTCTCCAGACCCAGGGAGACGCCCACATTATCGCGATGCTGCAGAATACCAGCCTGATAAAAGGTGAAACAAAAGAAACCTGGCCGCTTCAGCTGCAGAAGACGAGCATGAACCAAGAAATGTGGCAAGACTTCTACGGCCGAGCGCACACCTGTGACTGAAAGGGCCTTGGGCCCCATGGCCTTCAGCGCCATGATGCGGCGAGGCGAAGCCATAATGTGAAGTGAGAACGCCCCAAGCGTGCCCAAAGGCGTCGGGGCGAGACTGGCAAACTTGCAGGATGCAAGAAATGCACCTGGGCACGGAGCGTCGATAAAGCTGGCGGAGACAACCGCGCACGCGAGATAAGCCTCCGACATCGGCTCCCGGGCGAGGTCGAGGGGCCCCCACCGGACCGATCCCTCCGGGACCTCCTGGGCAGCTTGCCGATCCCCTGCAGTGCAGGGCGGCACGCCAGCAGCGCTCGAGGTAGGCGCCGCGCTGCGCGGGTTGATGCTGATTGTCACTTGCAAGTTGACCTCCCGCATGTAGATTAACAGAGGCTAGAAGAAAAAAAAAAAAAAAAAAAAAAAAAAAAATGTTTCGAACGAAGAGCGCGG